CCTGGTGTCTCCCATTAACTTGAGGACCTAATCAATGTGGCAGACACAGTACGGCCTTGTGCTAAAATATACTCATATCCATCCAAGTAGGTAATAGTTCTGAAATTGTTGCTTACAAATACACAGTTTCAAAATTATGATTTGTATTTTCATATAACTTACCTATCTTGATTTTTTGGAAACAAAAATTAAAATGTTTATTTTTATTTTAAGGATATTGCATTCAAAATTGTCAACAGAGAATGGGAGTATTCCTATAAGAGAGGGTTTCGATGCCAGTTTCACAATAACATCTTCCAGCTGTGGTTTCACTTCAAGCGCTACAGATATAGGAGATGAAGATCTAATGTAAAAGTTATGATTTTGTGTAAAGACTCGTATTTTGTATTATAATAAATAAATGAGAAAAAACTCAATTTCTTTTATAGAGATTCATATTTATTTTCACATTTCTGTAGGAGCTTAAGAAGTGGTTTTGGATTATAAGGAAATATATTTTTTACACTAAGTCTTTCTATACTTAGTCGAAGCCTGATTAGGACTGCAAATATTAAGTCTAACTTGTTTCCAGATCCCCCAGTGCTGTCACTACCTTTATCTTCCCCTATGGGATGATGCACTGCATGTCTACCGTGTATTTCAATTCTCTCATTTTCTTGAGTAACTCCCTGACTTTGCATGTTGTAGCTCTCAGTCAGATCTAAAATCAATGTCTTGGGGTTTGACTGGGACGGTTTTTCATCTAACACACTTGTTGATATACTATTACAACATGACACTGGGACTTGGTTTACAGGAGCAATAAAATGCAAATTTCTTATGGCATCACAGTTTTCTGGTGAGTTTTGAATAGATTCCTCGTCCTCTGAGCTATCACAACTAGTTTCCTCCTCCTGGCAGACAGATACAAAACACTCCCACTCATGATTCATGACTTTCAAGTAAGTAACAATGTAAGTCAACATACATGTTTCATTTGATGTTAAAAAGTCAATCAGTGGTTTGTGGTCATAACCCAAAGTTTCCACAAACTTCAGAAAAACCATGTGGGGGTTCATAGCATTCAAAATATCATTTTTATCTTTTGTTGATGGTTGTACTCTAGCAGAAGATACAAAATAAATACAATTTTTCAGTACAATATGCAATACCAGTATCGTAAAGAAATTATATCAATAATGATGCCTGGTAAACAGAGGTGAAAAGTGTTGGGTTAAAAATTTCTCAAGTCAGAAATGATGTCTCTAAGAGCCCTGACATGTTACAAGTATTTTACAATATTATGAAACCATAAAAAACATCTAGTGATAGCAAAATTATAATTAATTTATAAGCCATTCTGAAAAATGTACAACTAAAATATGTATTTGGTTGTCTTAAAATTCAACCATGTACTGTATATGACTATTGTTTAAACTTTTTTTTAAATTTATCTTGGTTAAACTTGAAAGTAATTTTCAAGGAATTCTGAAAAGCTCAGCAGGATTCTACCTATCATCTTTTTCTTAATTCTTTTACCATAGAAATTATATATCTTGACAGGAGGGAGAATTTTTATTTTCCCCCCCCAACAGAAATTCAAATAAAACCCAACAACTTGCAATAGAGATTTTTTCATTTTCTGTCCTTGTTTTTTTCATAATCAGAAGTTATTAGCAAAAAGTATAAGTGTACATCAGTCATTTCTTTAGGTTTCATAATGTGGTTTTAAAGTATCTAAAGAAAACTTGCTGAATATGACTACTTTGGTAGATTTAACTGCCTTCTTATTGATTTTTGTGCTAAGATTTTTTATCAAATTCCTTAATTTAGTAAGGTTTCTTTACTCTAAAATGTTTAAAAGCAAGTTGTAAGTTCGTTCACTTTTTTTACACTTGAGACATTACCCCTAAGTTTTTACCCATCATGAATCTTAAGTTAAAACACATAAAAATTACAAAATGAAGTGTTATGCTTCTTTCGTCTTCTTGAGTTACTTTGCTGGGATAAATACATGAAGCCATGTGTTTTTTCATGAGTATATTCCTGTATTATTTTACATATTTTTATCCATTGGTATTTTGATTAAAGGTATTTAGCTGATTTGTTTCTTATCTTATTTTGACAAATACTTGTTCAGTATTCTTCCAATTGCCTCTAAGCATATAACTTGTCTTTCAGGAAGATTGCTGAAAAACTATAAAATTAACCGAAACTGCATATTTGTATTTTCTAGTTATTTTTTATACACGTAATCTTTATGAAAAATAAACTCACCTCTTGCCTTTGCAATCAATATATAACTTCAAGGACAACAACATGGCTTCAAATAGTTGATCATCTTGGTCTAGAAACAGAGGAATCAGCCATTCAGCAAGATTTGATACTCCTGTGGAACTTGCAATAATCTCTTGACATTGCAATAAAGCCCACTTCTGAAGTGAAATAAACAGGCGTTCAGCTCTTTCTTCTGTAAGTCATCAGTATAAAGAATTAGTAAAGCATCTCCAACTTAACCCTATTGACTGTGTTTCAGGTAAAATAACTCACAAGAACCTAGAGAATTTATAAGAGGAAAATTAAATGTGTCACAGAAATCTTTTTGAAATCAATGACAGAAGTGCACATATACATTAAATTTACCTGCGCAGCTACAAATTTCATTTAAAAAAAATTAACTTTACTGTCTTTTGTGTTACTATTTTTCTTTGAAAATGCATACGAAAAATAAAAAAAGAGAAGCCAAAAGAAGCATTAAAATAAAGGTACTTTGGTAAGGCTTCAAGAAAACACTACAAACATAATTCACAGCAAATGTGGTTTTAGGTGAGAAATAAATTTTGTAGTTAATGTCATAAAAACATAAACTTACAAAACATTTAAATGAAACGTAGCCATACACTTACTGGATTTGTAAAGAAGTAAACAGCAGCACTTCAAAACAAAGATAATGACTTTCCGTGTTAATACAGTTGACCCAGCAGCAGGTTCAGTTTCTCTGCCATCTCTACAAGAAAATTTACATTACTTAAGTTAAGGAAAATTTTAATCTCTTCCTCACGTAGGCACCATCTGGTAACAACTAACATGGAATAAATTTAAATTATTTGCAAAATGTACACCAACAGCACTTGCATTGTATGAAATCACAAAGGCAAAAGGAAAATTAGTAAGATCTAGGTTTTAAGCTTCAAATTATATCACCAGCCTAACTAATGTTTCCATACTAATGACAAATGTTTAAACAAATTTCCAGTTGGTATGTGGAATGTTTTAGTTGTATCTTGTAACACTACTTACAGTTTTTCAGTCATAAATGTTCGAATAAAGTTAAAATTGAACTGCAAGATTATTGTATCGCTGCATTATCAAAACTCCTTGTATTTTGTTTTTGTGCTTTAAAACAAGCAGGCTTAGATTATAATATAAATAACTAAATCTTTATCAAGGATATAAAATGAAGTACAGCAATGACTGTACTTTACAAGTGTTAAAAACAAACATATTTGTATTTCATAGAAGATACACTACTGATCTCTTCAGGGCACAATAATGAAAACAAAAAATGACTCTCTCTTTAAAGTGTATAGAAAACAAAGTTAAACAGTAATACACTGTTTCTTGTATCCAAAACTTATACATTAAAATATTAATATATATATGTAAAAATATAAATGCATTTGACTACCTCAGACTTTATATTAAAAAAACTAAAAACCATTATTTAGCTAAGATCATTATAGTTCTAAAGTCCCAACAGATTTGACAAAACATTTGAAAAGTTCACATCTGATTAAATATTTCTAACCAGCAAGTTATCTTAACGCTTTCTGTTTAAAAAATCCTGTGCAGATAAAAAATTTAATCATATAAATATGTTTATTAATCATGTTTCTTAAAGAAATGAGGATTTTACTCTAGCTTTGTGTGGATAAGGGAATTAGGCTTGACAAAATAGGTCCACATAAAGCTAGGACACAATGACTGAGGATGCAGTGAGCCACTACTGGAAAGCAGAAAGCTTTCCAGTAGTGGCTCACTGCATCCTCAGTCATTGTGTCCTAGCTTTATGTGGACCTATTTTGTCAAGCCTAATTCCCTTATCCACACAAAGCTAGAGTAAAATCCTCAAGAAATGGTGGCATTTGATTTAAAATATTTACAAGGAAAAGATTTCTAACAGTTCCTTGACTTCAGAATAATATAAGGTTATAAATAACAGTACAGATTTGATAAAGAAAAACTAAAGTTTTCTTTCTTGAGTAATCTCATGAATTGAGTGGCGTATATTTTGATGCTGTTTTACTTCATTTCTTCTTATGAAGATAAGAATTGACAAGAACTTCTGTAAATATATCACATTCAGATTAAATATTATACTTTGATGAATTATAAAATCCTAGGTCTAAATTCTCCAAAAAACAAACACAGACAATGTAGCATGCACTTCATCACTAAGAAATTATTCTAAGTTCTTTAGGGTTAAATTTATGTCAAAGAAACGTGAATCGAAAAATGCGATCTCTTGGGGGTTATGTATCTAATATAGATTTACTAAGATTACCAGTCAGTGTTATTGAAAATAATTAATGATCCTACATGAAGATATAAAATGGACATATTGGATGTGCATTGGAGTTTAGGTCAAACTGTCTTATATCTCACTGAAATATCTGCAATCAGTTAGTAGAAATGTATCTTCTGGTAAACAGCATTTTCATTAGTTGGGTATTGTCCATGTACTGAAGACAACAACACCACTGATGTTAATAAGAAGATAATATCTTACCGGACACAAGAAAACATAAAGAACAAACACATTCCTTGATCAACAATCATAAGTTCTGTAATATTGTGAAAAAGAAGCCACTGGATGAATATTCTTAAATGAAAGTAACAAAAATAACTAAAAGTGCTTGTAATGGAATGGTGTAATCTGAATGATTAAAAGCAGATCAAAATATTCAATCTAGGTTATTATAAGTGCATCCTACTAGAAGGATGGTATAAAATTATATGACAAAGCCTTTTGATCCCCTTATGATGGGTGAAAAGGTTCCATGTAAATATGGAAAATAATATGTATTACATCATAGATAACCAAGATAAAAGAAATTTGTATTTGTATATACTGACTTAGAATAAACTACTCATCACATGCAAGAAGAAAAGCATCTTCTGGAGAACTGTATATAGTATCAAATGCCAAACCATTAATGGAGTATTTATTAGGACCTGACAAATGTGCATACACAGTCCTCCTGTTTTACATTTACGATGTAAACAGAATCAAGTGTTAAACCATTCATAGAATACTTCTTTTAGGGACTGACAAACAAGTGTACACAGTCCTCCAGTTCTGTTAACCCTCTGACTATGGGTAGGTCAAAGTGCATATGTCACAATCTTTTACAGAGTTAGATTCCAAACTTAATTAAACAACTATATTATCAATAAACTTGGCATCAAAATGTAGTAAATAAATCAAGTTTTAATATTATACAAGTTTTAGGTTCTTAATCTTACAAGGAAATATTTTTAAAAATCCTCAATCTCCCAAAGTATGAAAATCATGACATTTGTTTTCTAGGTCTTCTCCCTTCTCTAATGTAATTACCACACCTCTCTGAAGTATGGAGTTTAATGTAAATTACTCATTAAATGTAGATAATATTAAGGCAAAGTTTACTTTTTATAGCCTTCAGTATTACTTGTTTATGGAGTCATAAACTGAAAATCAGAACCATATATGCTCTGTGATGTTTTATACTATATTATTTATAACTAATAGAAAGCCAAAGTTTTAATCTATCAAATGACATATTATATTTTTAGTACCAAGGACTGTCTATTTCAACTTCAAGTTTCTCTCATGGTGTTCAGATCAACAATCTTAAGGAATTTTTTATGTCATGCTATAGTTAAAAAGAAAGTAAAATAATGATAGTTATAGCATGACATAAAAAATTCCTTAAGATTGTTGATCTTTGTTTAGAACTTTGTTTGCTTTGTGCATGTTATTATTCTGTGTTCTCAGGTGTATTATTTAAGGAAATAAAAATTATTAAGTGTACTAGTACCATTAGTATAAAAAGTACACTTAAATTTCATCAACAACTGACAGCAAAAAAAACAAGAGGTAAGTACTATATTTGTTTTTCATGTATATTCTTTCTTTATTATTATCAAAGTAACTTAAATGTAAAAATTAAACTTTTATTAAGCTACATGAGATGAAATTGGGTAAGATAGAGAAACAATAATAAAAATTCTTCATGAGATTTGCTCAAGAGTAGCTTGCACGTTATGTAATTCAATGCCGTAATGATAGTTACAATACAAATTCACCAAGTGATTTACAACTTGTGCATGGTGGGATTATTAGTTAGACACAATAAAATTTAAGTAAAACAGATTTAGGATAAACAAATGTAGTTTCCTGTTACAATTTGCATTCATTCTAGAAAGAAAAAATGGTAATTTAGACGTGCTTTGTATTTTTTTTATTGTGGTTATGAGACTGGTCAAATCAGTCAAGTGTGTATAGAGTTAGGGTAGAAAAAGTAACAGCAAAAATATATAAAGTTTAACTGAAAAGCTTTCAAAATTTTCAGATGGAAAGGTATATTTAATCTCAATAAGAAAGTCACTTTACACTTGGATCAGTCAACTCTCTGACACCATACATTAACAGAAAAATCTTTAGTAAAATTACTCAAAAAATCTGATATTTTACATAAAAAAAGACTTAATGTTTACCGAAAGCTTGTAAAATTTCATGAAATTTCAGGTACCTTATTAAAAGTGATAATATGGAAACTCTGATGGTTAATTTGTGATTACATGGTCGGCACATTGCCCGATATAGTATGGAAAGTGTTAACTCTTACAACACGGGCTCTGTCAATTTGACTGACCATGTGGCCTCTTTGTATTTGTTTGAATCTTTATAGATTTAGTACTACTAACTTTTAATATAGTGTGTATATCTTCACAAACTTTGGCAGTATTTCAGTTAACATTACGAGTCTTTCTTGTACAAAAAAATCAATTTTTTAGCAAAATATTTTTAATAAACTAAAATAAAGATTTGTCCATGAATACATTGAACATTTGTTTTGAATAGTCTATGTGCAAAGTAATTTTAATGTATAGATTAAAAATATTTCTCTTCATCTCAAAAATCTTAAATTTCCTTTGTGTAATCTCTAAAACCTCCTAAATAATTTCAAATGTATGTTTTCAGTAAAACTTTATATTTTATCTGTTATTTTCTCTATCCTAACTACACAAGGTTGGTCAATTTGACTGACCTCGTAACCCCCACCCAAAAAAAATCAAAATAAATCTAAATTACCCTCTTTTTTGTTTCTAGAATGACTTCAAATGTAGTGTGAAACTACATTTGTTTATCCTAAGTAGCTTTAAACTCATAACAGTATACATCTATTTATGATTAAACTTTAGTGTTTTATTGCCCTCTGAACTTTGTCTGTGCCATTATAAGTTGTAAATCTCTTGGGGAATGTGCAGCTCACATCACTCTATCGAAATACATTACCTACGAGCAGCTTGAGTGTGTACCTTGTGAAACATTTTTATTATGTTATTATTATTATTAATTTTACCTAATCTAATCTTAACTAACCTAACAATACAATATGGCATTTGATAGATGAAAACCTTGGCTTTCTATTAAACATAAGTGAGAACTATTAACAAAGCCTGAAAGAGAGGATGTGACAGGCAGGAGGGGTCTGGTTTTCTATTTGATAGCTCTGTAACCAAACAAAATTAAAGGCTATAAAAATTCTGGTTTGTCTGAGCAATGATGATTTTACAGTGAGTAATTTACATTTAATTGTGTATATATCAGAGGGGTGGCAAATATAATAAAGAAGAAATGCCTAGAAAAAATCTGTCACATATGTCTCACCAGGGAAAATTCAGGATTTTTTTAAACATTGCCTTATAATATTAAGAATTTAAAACTTATTTACTATTAAAATATGGATTATTAGTTAAGATGTTGTGCTATATTAATTGGTATAGCGTAAACAAAAAGTGGTTGAATAAAATTTTGAATGTCAGACACTAAAACCTTGTGTAATGCGCAATAAAGGATACCCATGGTGATAGGGTTAAGAGGAAGCAACATCAATAACTGGAATAAAGCTGCTGCTAAGGGTATGTTCAGGTTGTGAAAATGTTGCATATCTGATGTAAAGGGATATTAAGTCTAATAATGCTTTTTGTGTGCTAATAATCCTTTACAGAATGAATGTCACAATACCTTGTGGGTTGGATCACTGTTCCTCCAAAACCCCAAAATTTTGGTGCTTGTGGTAATTTCTCTAACCAATTACAAGTTGTCATTTCTGAAACAATTTCTTCCACAGCTAAATTCTTGATAGAATCAGCTTGAATGCTCTCCATGGAAACAACCTAATACAATAAGTAATTTAAAAAATTTAACAACAAATATGTTATTATCTCTTCGGTCATATACTGAAATGATTTAGAAAAATAGTAACAAACACATTTTAGTATATAATATACTACATTATTTTCAATTACTTAAACAGTGGTTAATGATATATATATATACACACACACACACAAACATCTAAAAATAAAGCCAATAGTAAAACATTTAGTATAAATATTTAGCTACAATAAAACCTGTAATTTCTTTTATTGTGGATAATTTGGTCATATTTAAACCTTAGTTAATATAACCAAATGCACATTTTTGATTCAAAATAATGCTGCATGATTGTCATGATTTGCTTTCAAGGATTTAATTTGTATATTGTTTTTGATACATATATAATGTGACCATGTCTTCACCTATAGACATAAATACAGTGTTACTGTGTGTTAATTATAGATCTAGTACGTTAATTACAGTTAAAGTTATTGTGAACTGAACTGTCAGTAGAAGTATAGAACAGAACTACCAATTGATTAATTATAGATGTAATATTTGTTCATTTTAGTTTTAGTACAAAGTATCAACTCTGAAACAGGAACTAATCTGATAGTAAGATCAGACTTAGTGCTAAACCACCTGGTGATCACTTATGTTCATCATTAGTGTAGATGTACATCTGGAATATGGGATCAATAGTCAACACAACTTAGATCTGCAAGCTGTACCAGATAGTGCCACATATACTGGGTAGATTTACTGATGATCAAGTAGAGAGGACACTTTGCCACACTGTTACTAGAGTGTAGAAACATCACAGAGAAGCCTAATTACCAGTAACAAGCAGGACTGAGTTGGTGTAAGGTCCTATGCCAGGGAGACATATCGACAACAGAAGGATATCTTTATGCCCTATTAGCCATTGTGCACCCATCTGAATATTGTCAGCCCTATTCTAACAAGCTACTGGCCCAATGTCACTCACTTCCTGCATTAGAACAGACAGGGCAAGGAACATGAGTTCTAAACAGCAAATTGTTAATGTATTGCCTAAAAACAATAATGTATAAAAAACTACACCCAGACAAGTGTCCCAAAGAGCATCAAGTCTCATGCACTCAATGGGGGTTTTCGACTGAACAGTAAAAGAAAAAAAACTAGACCTGAACACTGACCTAGTAAATGACACGTGATGACAGGTTACTGCAATATTAGAGGGATCTGGGAAAGCAAATACTGCCTTGAGAACCTCTATGAATTCTATGACATCATACTCTTTTGAGAGACTAAACTCTTAGATCCTAAGGAGTTCACTCCCACTGTGTTTAATTTCATACCACATGATGACCCAGAGGTTGGGATAGCCATTGCAGTTCAACATAACAGCAACATCTGCTATGACCATTATGACAGCTCTCAGTGAAACAATCACCATTATAAATTACAAACCATTCAGATAGCTCACCAGAAGTTACCCAAACACGTTCCAAGTATCAATATGTACATAAGAGGTAACACAGGACATAATGATGAAGATTGTAAGTTCCTGTCTGACGTGTCCAACAACAATCTTAAGCATCTAGCAACAGAACACTTCAACACTAGACATCAACTTGGGATGCAGGTGAAAACACTAATGGCAAAGGTTTAAATTCTGCTCTCCACAGTACAGCCACCAGCAATCACTGCTAAGCTTAGATGAACCAATAATTTTTGAGCAGCAAAACAACACTCTCCTTTATAAACCTTCCTTTTGTTAACTCCACCCCAAGTGTCATCTCTAGATAGCATAATGTCAATAGTGATCACCTCATGAATGTGAAGACATAGTGATATAAAACAACCTATAAACCTATACAAAGATGTCAAACTTTCTGGCAGTGCTGGTATCTTCAAGCACATCTCCACCACAAAATAAAGGCAAGGCAAGGCAACAATTTCTGCAAAATGAACATCCCATACTGGTGAACCATATAAAACTGAAAAGCATGCAGTCAATTCCAGGCTGAGTTCAAGCAGATATGGCATGACCTAGCCCAGGCAAGGGAGGTACGGATTACACAGAATAGAGCCCATTCTCTCTACAGGTGATCAGCTTCCAAAGCATGATACAAGTACATGACCTGTTCAGCAAGGCTAATCTCACAAGCACTTCATTTTGGTGCTTCCACAAGCTTATAGCTATAATAGGAACCAAAAGCATAGTGATGTCAGCCATTCACAAAAATCATGGTACTCTATACAGATTAATACCAAGGTAAGGCTACAATGGTTGAGTGGTGTAAGTGTTAAGTGCTCACAATCTGGTTTTATTTGGGAATTTAGGGATGACATGTACTTTAAGGAAGTTAGCAGTAAAGTTGTACAATTTGTTTGTAGAGTTTGTAGGTTAAGGAGAAATTGGAGGCTTTTTAATTAAATTAGGATAGAAGTGATGGAAAAGGAGAAAGGTAAACTGTATGAGGTTTAGAGAGGAAATTGAGGTTTTGCATGCAAACGATACGGGGGCTAGTGATGATTTTCAGGAGGTTGGGAGCAGTAATAATATGGCTAATAGTAATGGACTTAGTTATAAAGAGCAGATTCTTCTAACAAACAGATCTGAGCCTTTGACTTGTGTAGATTATTTAAATTTGCTAATGACATTAAAGTTTTAGGTACTGCTGGCTGAGAGAAGGATGCTACTGCCTTATAGAAGGATTTAATTATTTGGTAGTTGGGTGAATATATGGCACATGGCTTTTAATTATAATACATGCAAGGTAATGTATGCGAGTTATCATAATTTGAATTATAAAAATAATTTTGGTGGAAATAACCTTAACAGGTTTTTCCTTAAGGGAAAAAAAGATCTTGGTGTTCTGGCTGATCAATCTCTTAAGACACCCAAGCAATGTGCTGTTGCTAGTGGCAGGGCAAAAAATATTTTAGGTTGTATCTAGAAAAATATTGAAAACAAGTCTAAAATGGTTATAAGGTCATTTGTTAGGTCACATTTGGAGTATTGTGTTAAGTATTAGGCTCCTCATCTCAAAAAAGACATTGAATTATTGGTAAGGGTTCAGAGGAGGGCTACTAGGATGATACCTTGGATGGAAATGTTATCATATGAGGGTAGGTTAAGATATCTGAACTTGTTTTCTTTTGAAGAAAGAAAAGTTAGAAGGAATCTGATTGAGGTCTTTAACCCTCCCACTATCAACTTGGTTGATGTGACCAAGTTCATAATCCCAAAATGACCATATGAGCTTCCGCACTATAACTTTTAATATGTTTTGTGTACCTTCACAAAATTTGACAAACTTTCAATAAGCATAACACATAATTTGATTTAAAAAAATCGGTTTTTTAAATAACTAATTTTACCAAATATTTGTCCACTGCTCCTAGCACAAAGTGATTTTCATGTTAAGATTAATAATACTTTTCTTCACCTGAAAATTGTTGTTTTATTTGAATAATCTCATAAACCTCCTAAATAAATACCAAACGTTTTTTCCAGTAAAACTTTGTATTTTATTTATTTTCTCTACCCTAAATCTATACACATTTGGTCACCTTGACCAACCATAAAAATATTAAATAAATCTAATTTATCCTTCTTTCTTGATAGAATGACTGCAAATTGTAACAGACAACTACAATTGTTTATCCCAAATAACTTAAAGCTTGTAACAGTATACACTGGTTTATACTTAACAAAATGTCCCTTCGCAGACTGCAATAAGATTTTCTTAAAGCTTCAGCCAAACCAAATGTATCCAAGTATGTAGTCTTTCTACCACTACATCGAAATTTTGCTGTCCAAGAAAATAACGTGAAATAATTTACTGATATTAGTGTTGGAATTATAACAGCTATGAGTATCAAGAGACCACAACACTTCAGTCTGTAGTACTTCATTTTTAGAAGCAAATTCTGTCATGTCTGATACCGATACAAGTGCTAGAACTTATAGTTTTGTCCAACTATTCAAAGAAACAGATGTGCTGTTTTTCTGAAGATACTCAACATATAGTTTTCTCACAAGCCTTCACATTTGAACAATGTTTTTCAATTTGTATGTGCAATCTTAGTGCACTTTCAACCATTTTGCAAAGGCAATTAATTACCTTGTTACAAGTGGCACAATGCTCCTTATAGTGACATCCTTTGTGTTCTCTGATCTAATTTTTGAATTCATCTGGTCTAACCATTCTCTACTGAATATGCACTTTTCCATGATGAAAGAAGAGAATACAGCATTCAAGCTGATAATTCATGAAATAGACTTACATACAATAACATTTATAATTGGTTTCCCTTACTTGATATTTCTTTTTACATTTGATGCACTAATGCTGAAAAAATCCATTAGCAAATTAGTGGGAAAACATTAGAGAAATGATTTCTATAAAACTATGCAAGATTTGAATGAAGTACAACTCTTGCAAAGAGAACTAACACTTAGTGACTGACTGACCAAACAAAACTTATGAATGGCCTGATTATATATAGAACTAAAGGCCATTTTATGATAGAAATTTTATAGAATACTTTGATTTAAGGATTTTTCAAGTGATTTTGTTGAAATTCAAGGGCTTTTCAAGACAATCACAAAATTTAAGGACTTTTCAGGCTTTGTGCAAACCCTGTCAAAGCCCTGTTACACTGCACAAACCTGCATCACAAAGCACCAATAGCATTTATAAGCAAAATTCTTCACTAGCATCTTGCAGTATAAAGACCATGCATTCCATCACTGAGCCTGTCCAAAATAACCACAGAGATCCTACAGACACTAACAAAGCAGGAAATCACTTAAACAGAATGTCAAAAAAACACTCATAGGTGGACAGATGTTATACATGCAGACAATTATTTACCACCAAATCTCAGATGCCTCATTTGGTATAAACATCTGGTAACACTGTGATCTGTAGAAATAAGCCCAGATAGAAAATGAAGAGATTGGGCAGAGGGTGAAGCAGAAAAAGTCTGTCTGCACCTATTTAAAGACCATAGTGGACATTCATCTATAACAACAGCCACATATTGTTTCAACACCACAGAGAGCAATAAATGGTTGGGCATTCATCAGTCTTAGATCAACAGTATTCTGCTTAACTCTTTCACTATAGGTACCCTTTTCTGCATACATCACAATTTTTTCACAGAGTTGCATTCAAAATTGAATTAAACAACTTTATTATCAACGTATGCAAATAAACTTGGCATCAAAATGTAGTAAATAAATCAAATTTTAATATTATGCAAGTTTTAAATTCTTAATTTTACAAGGAGATATTTAAAAAAATCCTCAATCTATCATGGTATGAGAATTGTGAAATTTGCTCCTTAGGTCTTCTCTAGTACATTTACCACCTTCCCAGAAGTAAGGAATTTAACTCAAATTACTCATTATAATAGAGTTATTACCCAGGCAAAGCAAAATTTGTATAGCTTTCAATAGTGTTTACAGTCATAAACTACAAATACAGACTCACTTGTCACATTCTCTCTTTCACAAATTGCCAGTAATCCTCTCTGACATTTAATACTACATTATTTAGATCCAATAGAAAGACAAAGTTTTGATCTATCAAATGACATATTATATTATGTTTTCTATACAGAGAATTGCCTATTCGTTTTCAGTTCAAACTTTATTCTGACAGGAAATACATCAAGAAGCTTAGCTGAAATTTTAACAGCTCTTATTGCACAGTTAAAAAGCCAGAAAAATTATAACAGTTATAGGACATTGTCTGATTTTTACGTGTTATTAATTTGTATAGTTAGGTGTATTATTTAGTGTAGTAGTAGTACCATTAGTATGAGAATGTAGGCTTAAGTGTCATTGACAGTTGACAGCAAAAAAAAAAAAAAAAGAAAAGAAAAAAGACCCAAGTAAGTACTATATTTCTTGTTTTTCATGTGTATTATTTATTTATTATTATAAAAGTAATTAAAATATAAAAATTAGAAACTGACTAGGGTAGATTAGGTAAGATAATGAAAAACAAAATAACAATAAATTCCTCATGAGATATGCTCACAAGCAGCTCTTGCATAACATAATTTAATACAGTAATGTGAGCTGACATTTACTGAGTAATTTACAACTTGTGTGGTGGGATAATTAATTCCACATGTTTCAAATGTCAATAGAATTAAATATGAAACAATGTATACTGTTATAAGCTTTAAGCTAAACAATTGTAGTTCTCTGTTACAATTTGCAATAATTATATAAAGAAACAAGGGTAATTTAAATACAATTCCAAATGTTTTATGGTGGTTACGTGGGCAGTCAAACTGACCTTCTTCATGTAAAGTTAGAGTAGAGAAAATAACCTATGAAGTATAAAATTAAGTGTTTTTGAACATTAATTTTAATATTTATTTAGGCTTTAGAGATTACACAAATGAAATTTCCTTATTCTATCATTTTCACACATGGCATTTAAGCTGCACTTTCTATACGTATGTAACTTTATTGAATAAAAATACATTTAAAGTAATGGTACTTATAATAGTATACAGAGTATGAAACAGTTAGAAGCATTCAGTGTATGATAGAGCTTTATGAAATGAAACAAAGAAACTCACAAAAAAATAAAATAAAACCCATACTAAAGAAAAAAGTAGCTAAACGGTGTTTATAGCAGTCTATGAAATGAACCGAAGCTATACTATTGTAAAGTAAAAGGAAAGTTGTCATGAAAGCAAATTTAGTTGAATATCTAGAAACGCCTGGATGCGTGTTCACTAATTGATAAGCATATCGTTTTGAACAAATACATTTCATGGTGTGATAAAATTTTGCCTAGACAAAATTAATTGCACAAATCAAACCTGCATGCTATAGCCCCAATAAAAAATTCTTATTGGAACTTCTTGGTTCAATTTAAAATGTTAAATAAATAAAAGAGCTTAATGCTAACAATCTCCCACTGAAAGCCAGCCTAGACACATTATTTTTCATTAGCCAGCTCAACACTGAAAAAAACAATACATACAGCACTCAATTTCTAGCAGTCCACTATCCAAATTTCTTCCTATACTATTTTACTTATTCAAAAACTGGTAAGATATTGATTGAGAAGTAGGTTTGTTTAAAAGCAATGTGTCATTACAAAACTGCTTAACCATCCACATTGCTATAATAAATCAGACGTTGAAGTAACAATTTTATACATTTCATGCTCTAACCTTTTCTCATAAATTAAATTTAGTAATAACTCATTCTCTAATTTTCAAACACACAAATGTTGCATGGAACACAAAAATAGTTATTTAACCTAAATGCAGAAGAATAAATTTGTTAAAACAAAACTATCTACATACCAAGTTTGGTGATATGTGATCTATTACTTTCATGACACGCTAATTGGAATGGGTAAGTAAACCAATTTTCATATGTAAACCAATGACAATGTTAACCTTCACATAATTGACAGCAACTTAGAAAGAGACAAAATACCAACTAAGACTGGTTGCAATGTAAAGAAAACTAAATGCATTACCTCATTTGCAACATCAAGACACATTCTGCAGATAAGTGGAGTAGTCTGAGTAGTCATAAGTAGTAGTAGACTTCTGACATCTGACGCCAAAGAAAACTGTTTCAGAATTGACATAGAATCTCTGTCTTGTCTACATATTTGTAGTGTGCACTGCCAAAGTTGTAAAAAAGTCTTGAGCAGTTGTTCATGGCTTCCTTCTTCAGAAGAGAGAGAGTGAAGACACCTTGTTTTCAAAACACTCCAGTGTTCAGTTATTATAGTCAGGCACTTTCTTTTTAATTCTGTAATAAATTCTAGGAATTATATTTCATATCTTCAACACTATTGGTGTGGTTTCTCTTAAATGTGTTTAACCATGAAATATTCCATCAAGCAAATAATTTGTTTATAACCATCTTAAAACAACAGCTGTATGTAATAAACAAAAACTCGTAAATCCACACCTGCAAGACATTTAAAAAAATTCAATAATATAAAACTGCAGCAATACATTAATAGAAATAACAGTAAATAAAATTTTACATTTTTTGAATTAAAATAAATTTCAAAACAGGTATTGAAATCCTAAAATGTCTACAGCCCACCGAGGCATGAAGATATAACACCAGTGGGATAACATGGTAAGGATCAGAACTTTACAGCATATTGTAAGGAAAGTTGCAAATGTCTAAAGTGAAGCGTACAAACTCTTCTAGGTAGAGTCCCTGGCTGAACCACAAATTCAAGGTCCAGCTTCAATCAAACGAGAGCTCAGCAGGTCTTCAGCATAGAACATCTATCAGTTACCACAAAAAGTGGAAGAGAGGATGCAGAGGGTGCTCAGTGCACTTGTACACTTTACACGAAGCTGTTTAATGTATGGAATAAATTTCAGCTTACCATCAAAGAGAAGTCCTAAGAACTTTGTAACAACCACCACAAGAATAATGACATCACTAAGGCAAAGCTCAGGATCAGGGAGCAATCCCTGCTGGTGACAAAAATTCACAAAAATGGTTTTAGATTATGAGAATGTGAAACCATTTGCTGTGGTCTATCCCAAAAAGTGAGTGAGGACATTGTGAAATTGACACTCAATAAACCTCATTGTCATGATATAAAAGACTGTTTGGTTTATATATTAGTGATTAATTTATTTATGTGAGGGAATATATCATTACTGTTTAGTTTTTGATATAATAAGAGTTAAAAGCAGACAAATGTAGGAAGTTTTGTTAATGATTCATTGACATCAAGAATATAGAAGGCGGGCAGACGAGTAAGTGATAATGATACAAATGGCATGAGACTTGCGGGAAGCAGCAAACAAACATAAGCAATAGCAAAAGAGAATAAAGTTGGCGTGAAATTAAGTACCGTAGATGTGATAAGCCTAATGATTGACATAGGCTTAACATTTAATATGTTAAAGTGAAACTAACAGTAGAAAGGAAGATAAGGAAAATAATTTTATTCCGTCAAAGCATGGTTCTAAAGTGAATCAGCCTGAGTGCACCTTGATAAAAGGAACAAAAGATCTCCAGAAGAAAGAAGACCAGATGATTATGGTAATTCGCACCACAACTGTAAGTGAATCATAGTGAGTACTGGTATGATAGAAATAGAGTAGATAGGTTGGCTTGTCAACTGAAATTCTAAGGTAATTGAATAGGCCTAAGTGGATATTTGACATGTAGTATTTACATGTCCATAATATCAATAGTGTTGAAGAATTCATTTTACTTATGTTTGTTTGTTTGTTTTGAATTTCGCGCAAAGCTAGACAAGGGCTATCTGCGCTAGCTGTCACTAATTTAGCAGTGTAAGACTTGAGGGAAGGCAGCTAGTCATCACCACCCACCGCCAACTCTTGGGCTACTCTTTTACCAACGAATAGTGGGATTGATCATCACATTATAACACCCCCACGGCTGAAAGGGCGAGCATGTTTGGTGGGACGGGGATTCGAACCCGCAACCCTCAGATTGCGAGACGAGTGCCTTAACTACCTGGCCATGCCGGACCTTTTTACTTATGTTAACTTCTTCTGAATATATATTATTTTTAAAACAAGTGAAGTGCATGCTGTTTATTCATTGTTGAATTTATCGCTAACAAATCACAGACATCTGCTGTATAAGAATCTTAAGCCCAACAACAACATAGTATATAGTTATAATGTTAAGAAATATAACTAAAAGCCTTTCTATTTGACAATTGGAAAAATAGTTATATATATATATTTTGATTTTAAATTCTGACACACATATTTGAAGGTAGACATGAAATCTGAAAGTTATCGACATAGATTACTTGCAACTGTAAGAGGATGCTGTTCAGTAATAACATTGATCTTAATACTGAAAAGCATAACACTCAAGACAATATTCTGAGAGACTACAAATTCCTATATGAAGGATTATGAAAATTTTGATACCACACAATATTGAAATGACTTGTTATTTAAAGTTTTGAATTAAAATGGGTAAATGGCCAGGTAACCCAAATGAATGAGGGTCCTGTAAGACACCAAACCTCCATGTATTGTCGTAAGGCTTCTTAAGGTCAAAAAGATTGAAACAAGATGCCCCCTTGAGGAAAACTTTCCTGATCAAGGTTTCAAATCAAATCAGGTGGTTCCTGGTGAAGCACTGTCTACAGAAACCACACTGGGTGGGTAAGAGGAAGTTGTTTGCTTCAAGGAACCAAACAATACAAGCATTAACCATCCTCTTTAAAACCATACAGAGACAAGTAGTCAAAGCAGTTGGTCTGTAGTTAGAAGGAACTTGGGATCCTTCCCAGGCTTAATCAAAGGGATGACAATAGCCTTACATTATACATATGTAAAATCCTCTTCTTGCCAAATCTGGTTTGAAACAACCGAAGGAAGAGCAATAGAGACAGGAGAAAGATGGTGCAGTAGGCCATAAGGAACATCATCTGGTCCATCTGATATACTGCCAGACCAATGAAGAGTGAAATTTAATTCCATTAGTATAAATTGTTGATTATAGTCATAGAAAGTGTCTGCATGAAGATCTTTCTGTCCATAACTTTATGGCCAAGAAGGCAGGTGGAAATGCTGCAATGGTGAGAAAGCACTCTCCAAGGGTAAATCAGGTACCTCTTGGATATTAGAATACAAGACTGAAAAAAGATGGGAGGTAAACTTCCCCCTAACCTGAATTTTGTCCCAAACTATCTTGAAAATAGTGGTCGAGGAGATACAGGAAGTGAGATTGAACCAAAAATTCCTTCTGGCTTTGACGTCTTACCTGTCTGGCATGTGCATGAGCCTGCTGAAAGGCCATTTGGTTGTATAGTGTGGTATTTATGGAAGATGTCATAGAACTGTTTCAGACCCTGCTATGCCAGGGATGAGAATAACATAGTAAAAGTGTCAAGGTTTCCTGGGATCATAGAAACAGCTGTCTGGAAAACACAATCTGTTACTGCCTACTAGCAACCATTAATAGTGGGGGAGATTAAAAACAGCAAGATCAAGTTCCAAGAAAGTGGTGAAGGACAGCCAGTTAGCCTGCTTCAGCTTCTATTGTGGTACTCAAGTCAGGTGGCCTAGACCTTGACTGGATTCCCTCAGAATGATTGGAAAATTATCTCTGCCAAGTGAGTTACTGTCCAGATTTATGGCAGCAAAAGACTGACTAGAGATGTGAACATATGTATATGATCCAGTATTGAAGAAAGGTTGTGATCGAAGGACATACGCTCCACAGAATGACCCCTCTCATCAATATCAGCACCACCCAAGAATGGATTGTGCCCATTAAAGTCTCCCAAGATGAAAAAGGGAGATGGCAACTGTTTAGTAAGATAATCAATGGTTGCTTGATCAAAATCCTCTCTTGGCAGAAGATAAAGGGAAAAATTGTTTTGGTGTTACCAAGAGAGGCATTGATATCAACAGCTTCTATTGGTGTATTGAGTGGCATAGTTATGGTAGATGCATGCTGGTCAACAAGCAGTGCTACATCCCCATGAACCTGTCCATCACAAAACCTGTCTTTTCCTGTACAAGAAAAACTGCTAAAAGTTGACAGCATCTGCAGGTTTCAAGACCACCTCCTGTACGAGGACACACATGATGATATGCATCAATCAAAGCTTTAAAGTCATCTAAGTTAGACTGAAAACCTCAACAGTTCCACCATATCAAAGTGGCCCTTTTTACTTAGGAGTAGGAGAAATGAGTGAAGAGCCTTTTTGCTTTGATTACAACCATCTCATTTGTGTTTATTAAAATGAGGTTAGTTTACTATCACAGATCCTACCTTGGGTCAATGGGGCAGGTCTCTGTCAGATGAGAGTGATTCCAGTGAATGCAGAGAGGACTGAATTATAATTCATCATCTTGGAGATGATGGACAGGGTCTCAAGCATTCACTGGTTCCAATAGTAGGGATGGAGATGTATCAGTTTGTGTATCCACAGACAGCAGAAGATCTTTCACAAGGTAAGAGAAAGACTGTGGAAGGAATGGAGAGATCTATCTACACTCCAACTGTAACACTGGAATGGAGTGCAACATCATATGTCCAAGTTGAAAGAGTGGACAACATCTTTGGTGCCTCAGGATAAGAAATGTTAACAATTCTTAACTGCTGTATCTTATTCTTCTCCATCCATTTAGACCACAGATGAAAGTAGAAGGGGGTAGGAAACCGCAGTTAACAAAATGTTTGTCCAACTGACACACATAGCTGTCATAGACTTTGCCACCACAATGAGCAGATGTAAAAGTACCACAATATGTTTTATGGTGTCTAAACCACTGGTATTGGAAACATCTGAGAGGGCTAGGAATATAGAGCTCTAACTTGCAGTTGAAATAATTTGACAGTGGTAGGTGGATGTGGCAATGTAAATGTCAAAATAAGAATGTTGCTAGGCTGCATTATTCCATCTTTTCAAATGGAGATACGCCAAACAGCTGATACACTTTGGCTGGAGAAACCAGCAAAAATCTCAAATTGGTGATGATAAGAAAATTCCTCTCAGTGATCAAATTAGCATGGGAAGTAACTAACTTCAATAGACATATCCAAGATGGACTTTGATTTCAAGAAGAGTTTGTTATCTTGTGGTCAAGATGATTTGACATAGATGTCCCCAAATTGTAGCTTTTCAACTGACTTGTGAGAACTGGCAAACCCCTTTGATCCCTTCTGAATGAAAAAGTGAGACATCTGTCCTACAGATTTTTTTGACAAGGAATGAAGAAGCAAATACATGTAGAACATTGTAGTGAAAAAAATGGAGATATGCAAGGTTGTTGTGG